CTCCAGTCAAATATCAAGAGTAGTCTGCGCACTCCCAGAAAGGCCACCTGATTCCCACGAGTGCCTGTTCTACCCAGCAGGTCGATGCACGAGGAGACACCAAGGTCGACCGGGCATTCTGCGGGCAAAGGTTCCACAAATTCCCTGCATGCGTACACCGATTCCCACGAGTGCCTGTTCTACCCAGCAGGTCGATGCACGAGGAGACACCAAGGTCGACGGGGCATTCTGCGGGCAAAGGTTCCACAAGTTCCCTGCATGCGTACAGTGCGGGCAAAGGTTCCACAAATTCCCTGCATGCGTACACCCCCACCCCCACCCCACCCCAGGTCAATATGAGTTGGCCCAAGCTACTCCCCCTGCCACATGCCTCGATTTTCCTGCTTCCATAGTGGAGAAAGCACCTACCACCGCTCTTTCATGGGGCCCAAAAAGAAGACGCAGAACTTTGTTCGGTGCCTATCATTGCTTCGCGCTCTCTACTCTAACAGGGCTGTGAGGGAAGAATTATCACTAACTTCAGTTTAGAATAAATTGATTCCTAGACATGAAGTAACTTGCCCAAAAGTTTACAGCTGTTAAGTGTTGGCCCGGTCTGCCTAAAATTCCAAGAGGAAAGCTGCGTGCGATAAGGCACAAAGGTGCTCGTCCTCGTTTCACCCGCCCCCTGCGAATGGCTGCGGGGCGTCCAGGTGCACATCTTCGGTCCCGCCCCTCCTCGCACCGCGCGGATTGGCTGCGAGGCCCGGGGCGCCCCGAGCTGGGCACGCTGTGATAGGCTGCGGGCGCCGGGGGGCGGGACTCGAGCCCCTATCCACTCACTCGCTTGTGCTGCGCGTCGATGCGGCGCTGGCCTCCTCCCAGCAGCGCGCTGCGGCGCTTGTTCTCGATGCGCTCGTTCACCGAAACGGGCTGGCTGCAAAGGCTGCGGGCCGCGGTGCGGAGGCCGCTGACTAGAAGGCTGAGCCTTGCCCCAGCCGCCGCCACTCGCATTGCTGCCGCCATTTTTGCTCTTCCGGCGCGCCCCCACCCGGCGCGCTTGAGTACGCATGTGCGTAAAGCGTAGTCAAAGCGGGGTGTGCACCTGCGCAGAGCTGGCGGGAACGTTGAGGCCAGGGCTGGGCTGTAGAACTTGCTTGGGAAAAAGGGGTGTGAGTTGGAGACTCGAGTCCTTTCTAGGGGGTCACGCTGAGGGAAAGAATAGGACTGATCCTCTAATCTTGTGCCCGCCTGACTGCACAGAAGAGGGACTTAGTTCTTGCTCTTTAGTCACCTAGGCCCCTGGCTTTGTCATCCCACTTGCTCCAGTGGGATGACAATGAGTAGAGGATAAGAATTAACCAACATTTATTGAACAGTGTGCCGGGTGTTGCTTTTTGCAATTACCATGCACTAACTTATTATCCTTATTTCACAGATGAAGAGTAATTTGATCGAGTCAAGACTGAAGATGTTGTGGAGCCAGGATTTAAACTCAGAAACATACTGTGTGCCAGGTATTGAGCACAAGACTCTTAATCTCGAGTGGTTCTCAAAGTATGGACCCTGCTAAGGAAAAAATAATGATTCATGACACTTGTTAAAGAACAGTAAGATAGACTTTATTCAGGACCATTGGGACAGATGTAGGGACCACTGCAATAGGATTTTACAGTAGGGGAGAGAAATTGGGCTCAACCCTAAATACAACAAAGAAAAGTAGGAATTTATAGCCAAGGAGCAGGGTGGGGGTCAGTGGAAGGAAAATTACTAAACGGAGACATCAGGTGTAAGTGAGGAGTCTGGCTAAATCAACCTAATAGGATTCTTCTTGTAGACAGGCCAGGATGATCAGACATCACCTGTGGGACAGTGGAGGATAAGGAACGTACATCAGATATGGAGGGTTCTAGCTAAACTGACTTAGCGGGATTCTTGCTAAAACTGGTCTCTACAATGAAGGACACGGGAGCCCAAGGTCAGGCCTCGTCAAAAAGAGAGCTCAAAAGAGCCTGACCAAAGTTTGGTCAAGGAGAGAATCTTGTCAGTCCAGCAGCTTCAGCAACACCTGAGAGCGCGTCGAAAATGCAAACTCTCAAATTCTCAGACTCCACCCCAGACATACTGAATCAGAAACTCTAGGGGTGGGGCTAGATCTCTTTTTAGCAGGTGATCTGCAGGTGATTCTGATGCTTGCTAAAGTTTAAGAACAAATGCTCTAGGAGGTTGGAACTGAATTGTTGAGAGCTTGTCCATCTGTTTCCCCAGCTAACAGGCAGGTCTTCAAGGGAAAGAACAAGGTGTATATTTCTCATTGTTAGACACAGAAAATTGCTGAAGTTGATCATTAACCTATCCAAGATCCAGCTTACAGCCAGAGCCTTTATAAAGTCCAAACCCTGACCTGAGACTAGTTTTAATGCAGTGCAACTCAGCAAATACTTTTGAGCACCTACTATGTGCCAAAACTGAACATCAGCGCTGATTGTGTTTCCTGGACTAGGAATTGTTCACCTAGATATACAGGGAAGCTGAGGGTCCAAGGCCTGAAGTCATGTGGCTGGACAAAGCCCACATGCATCCATCCGACTCCATAGTGGGTGCTCTTGTCCCTGCATTTGGGTCACTGCTTTAAAGACTTCACCAACCTAGAGAGGTGGACGGACAAAGGGCTGGCCTTGGGAGCACAAGGGAGAATTTGAACAAGGTCGAGTGTGTCAAGGAAAGTATCTCTAAGAAGGTAATTACATGCCAGGGAATAGGAGTAGTATGAGCAAAGTCCTGGCATGTTCAGATTCACATACACATACTTGGTAGAAATCATGATAAGTGAGCCTGGAAAGCAATAATGGAATTAGATTGTGAAGAGTTCTGCCATGTTCAGAAATTGGGATTTGATTTGGGCTGGGGTCAGTGGAACCTTGTTGTCCTACAGTGCCTTGTAGGTTCCTCTCCTAAAGCACATTGCACACTGTGTTAAGATTGTTTAGCTCTCTTTCCAGCTAGACTCAACAGCTGGAGGGCAGGGACTGTAGCTGGCTTGCTCACCGCTGTGTCCCCTGCACCTGTAACAAGTCCCAGCACACAAAAGGCATTCAGAATGTATTTGTGAAATTGAATTGAATTAGCAAATAGGAATTACATGTGGGCCGAGAGGTTTTCACCCACTCCTAAACATCCTTTCAGGCTCTGCTAAGGTATCATCTCCTCCAAACGGTCTATCCTGATCCTCCCTCTACCTGGGATAGAGTAAGTATCGGTCCCTCAGGGAAGCAAGGAAGTTTTTCTTATATAACCTTAAATAAGCAGTGCTTAGCAAAGCACAGGGGGACTCACTGAACCTAACTGCTCCCTCCAACTAGTCCTCTCTCCCTGCCTTTCCTATTTCCCCTCCTCCCCTTTTTCCTTCTCACTGTCCTAGTGCGCTACCCATGGGCACTCCATACAGGTTCTGCAGATCTTCAATGTTATTCCTCCCACTTCAGATGCAAGTCCCAGCCTGGGGTGGGTGGGTGTAGGAAGAGGGTTGAACTATCCAGTAATTGTCCTCTAGAATAGCAGCATGCTCTGGGCTGTTTTCCTGCTCTTTGTCACTGATGGAGTTTGGATGTGCTGTCCCCTCCAAAACTCATGTGGAATTTTGATCTCCAACAATGTGGCAGTGTTGGAAACTGATTGGGTCATGGGGGAGGATCCCTCATGAATGGATTAATGCTCTCCCTGGGGGAGGGGGTACTAATGCGTGGGTTCTTGCTCTATTAGTTCCCACGAGAGCTCATTGCTTAAAAAGACCCTGGCACCTTCTTGAATGGATTAATGCTCTCCCTGGGGGAGGGGGGATTAATGAGTGAGTTCTTGCTCTATTAGTTCCCACGAGAGCTCATTGCTTAAAAAGACCCTGGCACCTTCTCTCTCTCTCTGTCTTGCTTCCTCTCGCCATGTCATCTACTTGTACCCGCCTGCCGCCTGCCACTTTCCACCATGAGTAGAAGCAGCCTGAGGCCCATGCCAGATGCAGCTGTCCCAGAATTGTAAACCAAATAAACCTCTCTTCTTTATAAATCACCCAGTCTCAGGTATTTCTGTTATAGCAACACAAATCGGACTAAAACAGTCCCCCTCACTGGTGGCTATGTTTGAGTTGGGCTTCCATTGTGAGACAGGAGTCTTTAGTTTTCTTGCTTTGTGAGACAGTAGAGATAAAAATCTGGAGCCATAATACCTAGGTGCAAATCTTGCTTCTGCCTTGGCTTCCTGGATAACATAGAGTAATTCACTTCAGGGCCTCAGTTTCCTCTGTAAAAGTGGAGAAGGGGTGGTCTGTGAAGCCCTTATGTTCTGACCTTTTCACCCATGACATAATGACAAGAAAAGAGCCCCGTCATTGGTGTTGGACTGGCCTGAGTTAAGCTCCAACTCTGCCGGTTATCACTGTGTAATCTTGGACAATTTAGCCTCAGTTTCCTCTTCTGTAAAATGGGAATAATAATAGTTCTACCTCAGAGAGTTGTAAGGCTTAACTGTGAGAATGTGTATAAAGCACCTAACATAATGGCTGGCAAATGCAAAGTTAAATGTTACCTTAGATTACCAGCAGTATCCTGAGGTGCATTGTCTTACCCACCAGAAATTTTCTTGAGTTCTCCTCAGAGTGGAAGGAAAGTGACACATTTCATGGTATTTTTTCAGTTCTTTCTACAAGGAGTGAGGGTGGATGTGGAACACTGAGGTGTCAACATTTTCTGACCATTCTAGCCTGGTCAGTGACTACTTCCAGCAAGGATGAGTTCGATGGAAAGAAGGAATAAATGGAAGAGGTCACATATATTTAGCCTGGGTCTTCTGAGAAGCAGTCACCAAGAGGGGAATTAAGCATGCAAGAATCAATTAGGGGACCACTTGTGAGAGAAAATGGGGAGGCAGCCATGAGAGGCTGGGAGAACCATCAGATTGCAATGCAAGTCTGACTGTCAGTCAAGGAGAGAGGAGGCTTGCCAGTTAGCTCAGTTGGTTAGAGCCCAGCCTCACAACACAAAGGTCACAGGTTTGGATCCCTGTACCATCCAGCTGCCAAAAAAAGAAAAAAAAAAGTCAAGGAGAGAGGGATGGAAGGAAGGTGGGTGGAAGTCTCTTAGACTACCATGAAGTTTTAAGGAAAGTTCAGCAAGGCTGTTGGGGAGTACTGGAGCCATAATGTCCCTGCTCTGGCTGGGCTGGGAGCAGCTTGTGGAAGGTGTGTCCTTAGTGCCAATTTGGCACTGAATTTTGGAGGAACAGCTGGGGGCTCTCAGTCAGTTATGCTCAGTGCAGTCCAGGTGTCTTCTCATCATAGAGAAGTTTGGATGGTTAGGAGTAAAGGGTGTGAGAGAGAAAATTTTGGAGAGCAGCCGTCATCCATGGGAGGAGAGGAAATTTTTAGCATTTTTGTTGTGCGTTAATAACATATTTATCCCCTTGGTGTTTTGTTTTTGTTTTTATTTTAATTGAAGAAAAAAGTAAAGCACTTTAAATTCACAATTCTTTTGCTGAACTGTTTCCTTGACTTCTGAGATTGGGCTACTAGAGCCCTGACTTAAATTTCAGGTAAAATTGTTAAGACCTGGTACCTGGTTTTCCCTAGACCACATACGTTTTCCAAGCCATCTTGAGAAATCCTCATCTTTTCTGACTCTGTCGGAAATGTGCAGAGCTGGTCTATCCCTTTTTCAGAGACACTTCTAGACCATTCTTCCATTATTGCTGAGCTGCTCTTTCCTTTAAGTTTTTGCCATCTGTTGGTACCAGCCTTTCAGCATTCCCCTGACCTCCACAACACACCCTTCTGTGGTTTCCATATGGGGCTCGCTTTTCCCCTTGCCTGCCTTCTACAGCCATTCTCAGAGAATTTTTTCAGCCTTCATGCTGACATCCTCTGACCCTCTGGCCTCAGAATTCCTCAGCCTCCTCAACATGAAGGGCCTTCAGCTCTGTTCCACTTCAGCCACCCACACACTGGCCTTGTAATCACTAAGAATTGCTCCACTTCC